ATTAAAGTCATACGGAGCTACTTGATTTCATAGGGGAAAATACTGCCTTTTGATAATTCTACTCAAATGCACAGAAATTCAGGGGGGAAATCTCAGAAATGGCAACATGGCAATTAAAAGCGATGGGGCAATAATTTTTTAACTATCTTTTCTTAAAAAATATCTTTTTTTCACTCCCATGTGCAGCTTCAAATACAACAAAATATTGGATACATGTTTAGATTTTCAGTAAATATTCCTGACCTTCTTAGACTTGCCTTGGTCCAAGAAAGCTTTGTTTTTTTTTGACATTAAAAAGAAAACACTTTTATTGACAGTTAGGGGTCATAGGACAGTTTTACAGGACAACAGATATAAAAGTCCTAAGACAACAGAGTGTACAATGAGACAGGTTAATACTCTTCACCCTCATCCTCTCCATCTGCTCTATTTGCTCCCACCTCCTCATAGTCTTTCTCAAGTGCAGCCATGTCTTCCCGGGCCTCAGAGAACTCTCCTTCCTCCATCCCCTCACCCACGTAGCAGTGGACAAGGGCACGCTTGGCATACATCAGGTCAAACTTGTAGTCTAGGCAAGCCCAGGCCTCAGCAACTGGCTGTGGTGTTGCTCAGCATGCACATAACTGGCTGCACCTTGGCCAGGTCTCCACCAGGGACCACAGTGGGAGGCTGGTAATTAATGCCAACCTTGAAGCCAGTGGGACACCAATCCACAAACTGGATGCTGCGTGTGGTCTTGATGGTGGCAATGGCAGCATTGACATCTTTGGGAACCACGTCACCACGGTACAACAGGCAGCAGACCATGTATTTCCCATGGTGGGGGTCACATTTCACCATCTGGTTAGCTGGCTCAAAGCAAGCATTGGTGATCTCTGCTACAGTAAGCTATTCGTGGTAAGCTTTCTCAGCAGAAATGACAGGGGTTTATGTGGCCAGAGGGAAGAGGATGCGGGGGTAGAGCACCAGATTGGTCTGGAATTCTGCCAGATCTACATTCAAGGCACCATCAAATCTGAAGGAAGCAGTGATGGAGGACATGATCTGGCTAATCAGGCGATTAAGGTTGGTGTAGGTTGGGTGCTTCTTATCAAGGTTTGTCATGAGTGGCGTGATCAATAATTACTTAATGCTCTTAGACATTTTCGAATGCTCGGTTTATTCACTGCAAACACACATCAAACAATCTAAAGTATTATTCAAACAACTAAGGGCAAACAACTATAAGCATAAAGGCAGAATAACAACTATGAGTATAAAGGCATAATAACAACACTTCTCACACATTTCATATTAGCACCATAGTCCCAGTCAGCATTGGCTCATCGGTGTACTCACCCCAGGTAGAGTTGGAGAGAGCAGGAGATGATGTCTCCTTGGTTCCTAGCTCTCTAAAGGTCAGTGTCTCTACTTGGGTTTAAATGGACATTTTGGCCAGTTCTTTGACGTTCTCACTGTCCCAGTCAAGTCTTATGAGGTTTCTCCAGGCTTTAGGTGACTCGGCTAGCTTTTGGGCGTCGGTCAGGTCTCAGCTCAGTCTTATCAGGGGTCTCACATTTTTGTGGTGGCTTCTTTGATGTAAGTGTTGGCCTGGGCCCCAATATTACATTATATATATATATGTGTGTGTGTGTGTGTGTGTGTGTGTATATTATGTATATTATATTATAATATATATTCTAAAAATATATAATATATATATTTTTAAGTGGAGTTTCTTGTGCTTGTTTATTTGATGTGGCTCAACGTTTTGCAAGGTAGTTCAATGTCATGTAAGGTAGTTCAACGTCTTGCAAGGAAGTTTTATTGTGCTCTCATCAAGGTTCCTGCGACAGATGTCGTAGATGGCCTCATTGTCTACCAGGAAGGCACAATCTGAGTGCTCCAGGGTGGTGTGGGTGGTGAGGATGGAGTTATAGGGCTCAACTACAGCTGTGGACACCTGGGGGGCGGCGTAGATGGAGAACTCCAGCTTGGACTTCTTGCCATAATCAACTGAGAGGCATTCCACCAGCAGGGATGTGAACCCGGAACCCTGGAACCCGGAACCCAGTGCCCCCGTCGAAGCTGTGGAAAACCAAGAAGCCCTGGAGACCTGTGCACTGGTAAGCCAGCTTGAGGATCCTGTACAGGACGAAGTCGACGATCTCCTTGCCAATGGTGTACTGCCCACGGGCACATTTGTTGGCTGCATCCTCCTCGCCCGTGATGAGCTGCTCAGGGGGGAAGAGCTGTCAGAAGGTGCCAGTACGAACTTCATCAATGACTGTGGGCTCCAGGTCTACAAACATTGCCCTGGGCACATGCTTGCCAGTGCCCGTCTCACTGAAGAAGGTGTTGAAGGAGCCATCCCCTCTCCCTAGGCATCTGGCCATCGCGCTTGATGCCGTGTTCCAGACAGTAGAGCTCCCAGCAGGCATTGTCGATCTGGACATCAGCCTGGCTGAAGTGGATAGAGATGCACTCACGCATGTTGGGACTGGTACCTGTTTCGTGGGGAGAAAGGAAAAGAAAGGACGGCGGCAGGAGCTTCCCCCTGACAGACTACCAAGGAGTCCGGGGGAGAAGCTAATAGCAAGCACTTGAGAGAATAAATATATGAATGAAAAGCAGATGGATCAAAGAGGCTGATGATGGATCCAAATTGACCTTGTTTGTATCCCAGCTTCTAGGCTAATAACCAAATGTCTTTCCTTAGGTCATTAAATCTCTCAGTGGTTATTTTTCCTTAAGTATAACCCATAAGATCCCAAATTTATGTGTCCTAAAGATCCCTTTTCAGAAAAAAAAGAGAATAACTGAAGGGCCACAAGCAATAAAAATCAATTTCACTACAGGCCTGTATCCCACATGCCCTTCGGTTAGGACATTTTTACTGATAATGGGGAAAGAATAATAAAAGCCTGCATTGCATTGTCAACCACAGAATATGAAAGAAATGGTTTTATGTAGTTTATCATAAACTCCTGTTAAGATATACCTTTCCACAATTTGATTAGATTTTAAGACTACACTGACATTTATGATTTTGGATAATTCTTCAGGGATCTATGGCTAACATGATGTGAACTGGGGAAAAAGTTACATCTCTTTGATTCCACGTTCAGCCCATGAGATCTTTTGCTGTGCTCTTGACTTCCTCCCTGTTCACTCTCTTTCATACCTGGGTCCTCTTCTTCTGTGCTGTGTTATTGAGACTTGTCTTTTTGTAGCGTGCATCAAATAATTTTTAGAAAAACAGTTTGAAATTGTACATCAGTTAAACCATCATAGAATTTATATATATTTTTTCTGTAGCTCTAAACAGTAAATGGAAATACTATATAAACTGATTAGTATAATATGAAGTAAAATGGTGTTACAGGAACTCAGATATTTATAATAACAAAGCCTTGTTTGTATAATATATGTTCTAGTGTTTTGGTTCTTTTTATGGAATATTTGTAGGTAACCAAATGAGATAAAAATCAAGGGTAATATCAGATTCCAGATCGTCCTTGTTCTACTTTAGTCTAATGCTTTTCCCAAAAGCAGCCTCCCAAAAGAAAACAGGTTACTATTAAGAAAAAAATAAAATGTCCTTTTGTGTCCTTTTTTTAAAGTTGAGCTTATTTCCAATATATAAATTAATTTTAGTTCTTGATTCAATCATCCGTATTATTAGTAGAAACAAATTGCTGCATCCCAGCAAATCAGTTCACTTTTTCTTACAACAGTGGAACTTTGATTTACTGTACTTCACATGACCAAAGATAAAAAAATATATACAGGATATAATTTATAAATCAAGAATGGAGAATTTTGTTTTAATTTAATAATGCCTTGAAGAATAACCCTAACACTCACTCTAATTTCAATACAGTAGAGATCATGTTCCATGAAGACAACGCTCTTAAGTTCTTTCTGAATTTTCTAATGACATAAATTGTGCCTTACACAGAAAACCTTTTCAGTGAACTGACTCGTAGGTATTGAATCTATTCTTCAGTGAAATAGACATAAAAAGGACCTGACAAAGATCAAAAATCTGGTAAGCTTATATAAAGGCAGAGATTGATATGCTATTACATGCATTTATTTATACATACCCACCCTTACTGACATTGAGTCTAAGCCAAATCACAGTGGCCCTATAGGATAGCAGTGAACTCACAGTAGCGCTTTAGGACAGGATAGAACCCCTATGAGTTTCCAAGAGTGTAACTCTTTATGGGATTAGAAAGTCCTGTCCTTCTTCCTTGGAGAAGCTGGTGGTTTTGAACTGAGTACTTGAAGGTCAGCAGATAGATAGATAAAGATAGAGATAGAGATCTCTTCATACAAAATAGCCTTAAAATAAGTTAATAAAATTACAGAACCAATAAAATTACATAACCTACTCTGGATGTGAATGAAATGGGATATTTCATCCTTAATATATTCTAATATTAAGTAGCAAATTAAAAAAAATAACGATGGCTTTTCTTTAATGCTCACAAGATCTGACCATAAGATGAGACTGAAAGAGGTCTGAATTCTGAGATTTTGGGAGGAAGAAGGTCTATTTTTTATGGAAGGCAGGACGTTGATCTCCACTGGGTGTATATGAACATGAACAGGTTAGCTTCAGATAAGAGAAGATTTACTATCATAGGTTATAATTCTGACAAGACTGGCCTTCTATATCTCATAGACTAAGTGAAAGGTTTGGGACCAAGTATTTTGTATCAGTCAATAGCTTTATTATCTAGTAGAATTATCCTATCCCCATTTGGGTGATGTAGAAACTGAGAACCTGGATATGAAATATTTCTAGTTGCAATAATTTGCATCAATGTAAATGATTTTATTATCATCAAACTGAAGTTCATGTCTTTTCTTCATTTGACCGCAGGACAAACATAACTGTTCCATGCAATTATGAAAACTGGATCATGGAAGAAGCCATATTCTTTTTCATCTGAGAGAAGTTTTCTTGGTCCTGCACTGAAGAGAGATATACCTAAAACCTAAATCCATACATGGCAGGTTGGAATCACACAGGTGTGAAGGAATTCCTTTTCGTGGGATTAACAGAAAATCTTCATTTGCAGATCCCTCTCTTTTTCATCTTTGCTTTCATTTATTTCATCACTCTGCTAGGCAACGGGGGGATGATTGTTTTAATTAGGTTACATACCCGACTCCACACGCCAATGTACTTCTTCCTTAGCAACCTCTCTTTCTGTGATATCTGCTACTCTACCGCCATTGCTCCTAAGATGCTGGTAAATTTCTTATCAGAACATAAATCCAGCACATTTTCTGGTTGTGTGCTGCAGAGTTTCTTTTTCGCAGTGTATGTAACCACAGAAGTCATCCTCCTGTCTATGATGGCTTATGACCGCTTTGTGGCAATAGCTAATCCCCTATTGTATACAATCATCATGACTCAAAGGCTGTGCATTAACATGGTCCTTATCTCTTACTTAGGTGGACTCATTAATTCCTTGACTCACACAATTGGTTTGCTCAAACTAGACTTCTGTGGTCCTAACATTGTGAACCATTATTTCTGTGACATTCCCCCGCTTTTAAAACTTTCTTGCTCTGATGCCCACACCAATGAGATGCTGCTTTTGATCTTCTCTGGCTTCATTGTAATGTTGACTTTTATTATAATTATTGTCTCCTATGTCTGCATCATCATTGCTATCCAGAGAATCCGCTCAACTGAGGGAAGGCGCAAAGCCTTCTCCACTTGTGTCTCTCATCTGACTGCTGTCATCTTATTCTATGGGTCTCTGACCTTTAGTTATATCCAACCCAGCTCCCAATATTCCCTGGAACAGGAGAAGGTTTCATCTGTGTTTTATACATTGGTGATCCCCATGCTGAACCCACTGATTTATAGTCTTAGGAATAAAGATGTAAAAGATGCTGCTAAAAGGTCAATATTGTGAAAGAGAATCCCCACTTGACTCAGTGACATGATTGTTCTAAGCTGACATTAATTTGTAGAGATAGGAGAACTATAACATTTTTTCACAGATACAATCATAAGAGTAAATATAATAAAGATATGCAATTAATGGCATATTGACATGAAAATGAGAATCATTCCAATTAATTTTTCATGTTTTTAAAATCTTCTTTTAATTTTTCATTTCCGTAAAAGGAATAAATTATTTTTAACATATTTTGTAATATATTGTGAAAGAGCTGGCCTTGAATTTAAAAGTATAACACCTATTGCTTCAAGTCAAACTAATACTCTATACAGAGGATATTATAAAATATATTAATATCTTTGGAAAAAAATAAAATACTCTGTCTAATTGCTCAAGTTTTCTCATGCAAATTGACTTTGTTCTAAGTATTCCCTAGTTAGAAAAATTGTATATATATATATATATATATATATATATATAATGACAGACATATTTACACATAATGTATGTCTTCCATTTTGTTTTTAAATATGCATAATTCAATAGTATCTTAAGAAAAATTGTGATGGTAAACATAAAATATATAGAACATACTTGTATACCAGAGAAGTTTAAGATATGGAGGATAATATGTTACATAAACTGGGAGAACTGGACTATGGAAAATGGGAAGGGCTATTTTAGGGGATGTAAATCAATTTTTATCTCTAACATGGATGTGTTAAATAAAAACAATGTAAAAAAAACCTGAAATGTCACTGAGATTATAGGTGTGAAAGGGTTTTGATATAGCTAACGTGTTTTAAAACTTTCTCAAATAACTAAGAGATGAAATCTTATGTGAAATATAACTGGAATTCTTCAGGGAAAAAAAGGTGATGCTGCTATCAACATAGTGCATAGAAGAACAAGTTGGGGGAAATTACTGTAAGCCTATAAAAATAAAAATGGTTGGGGTTGGGTAATACAGAGAAGTAGAAAAATTTAAAAGAATTCTTGAAAATTAGCAACAAAATTTGAAAAATAATGAGACTTTAAATTTCAAGGAATGTTTCTATGATGAATAAAAGGCTTTGAAACTGTATAACTAGCAAATAAATTGACTAAGGGTGAAAGATATGTTTATGTATATCAATATATGAGTATATTTATTTATTTTTAAAAGTTATTATAACATAGAAAAAGACAGAAAACGACTAAACTCTTTCTATGAAGTTAGTATCATTCTGATACCTAAAGCAGGCAAGGATCCAACAAGAATTTAGAACTACAGACAAATATTCCTAATGAACATCGATGCAAAAATCCTTAAAAAAAACACTGGCCTATAGAATGCAAAAGCATATAAGAAAAATAATTCACCATGACCAAGTTGAATTCTTACTAGAGAAGCAGGGTTGGTTCAACATACAAGAGACCATTAGTATTATTCACAACATTGACAGGAAAAATTATAAGAACCACATGATAATATCGATAGATGTGGCAAAAGTATTCGACAACTTCGAACAGCCCATTCCTGTTTAAGACACTCAAAAAGATAGGAGTTGAAGGAAAATTCCTCAATATTATACAACCTATGCATGAAAAAAACAACAACAAACATGGTAATCAATGGAGAAAAGCCAAAACAATTCCACTGAAAAAGGGGACCAGACAAGAATGCCCCTTGCCCCCAGTCCTATTTAAGATCATACTGGAAGTCCTAGCTTACAACATAAGACAAAGGAAAGCCATCAAAGTATTCATCTGGGGAAGGAAGAGGTGAAACTATGGTTATTCACAGACGATAGAATTTTGTATATCAAAAATCCTCTAAACTCTGGAGTGGAGTGTTGGAAGCGATAGAGGAATATAGCAGAGTGGCAGGATACAAGATCAACAACCGGAAGTCTATTGACTGCTATACCCATCAGACAAGACTACAGAAGAAGGGATCAAAGAGGTAGTACCCTTCACAATAGCCAAGCACAAATGGAAATATCGTGGAATATGCCTCACTAAAAAAATGAAAGATTTGTACGAGGAAAACTACAGAAAACTACTACAAGAAATCAAGAGTGACCTCAACAAATGGAAGAATATTGAATGCTCGTGGACTGGAAGACTCAACATAGTAAATATGTTAGTTCTGCACAAGGAACCATATAAGTCTAATGCTATCCCAATATGAATACCATCATCCTTCTGAAAAGAACTTGAAAAACTGCCAGTTTTTTATGGGGAGGGAAGAAGCCTAGGATTAACAGAGAAATCCTCAAAAAGGGAAAAGTGGAAGAACTTGCTCTGCCTCATTTTAGCACATATTATAAAGCCACTATGGTCAAAGCAGGGTGGTAGTAGTATAATGGCAGATATTCAGACCAATGGAAAAGAGCTGCAAACCCAGAAATAAAAACTTCAGCATACATACAATTGATTTTTGATAAGTTCCCAAAAATATAAAATGGGAAGCAGACATCATTTTCAATAAGTGCTGCCCTAAAAAATGTATATCTACCTATAGAAAAATGAAGGAAGACCCTGACCTCACGCCATGCACAAGAATACACTCAAGATGGATCACAGACCTTGAGATAAAACCCCAAACTATTAGGATCATTAATGGGGGAATTGGGACAAACCAGAGAACCTAGCCACGGGGAATACATAGGCTATCAGAAATAGAGAAGCATACAAATACAGAGAAGTCACAAATTGGCAAGTGGGATATACTGAAGATAAAACACCTGTGTACATCGAAAGTAGTCACCAAGAGAGTAATGCGAGAGCCCACAGACTGGGAAAACATCTTTAGCAATGGCACATTAGACAAAGGCCTTATTACTAAAATCTACCATCTCTGCTAGCTTCCAAAAAGAAAACAACTAATTGGCAACTGAGGAGGTGGGAAAAGGACCTGGAGAGAAGTTCCACAGGGACAAAAATCCAAATGGCCAATAAACATAGGAGAATATGTTCCTGATCATTATCCATAAGGGTAATGCAAATTAAAACAACTATGAAATACCATCTAAGACCCTCAAATATAGCCCAATGCAAAAAACTCAGAAAGTAACAAGTGTTGGAGGGGCTCTGCTGAGATAGGAACTCTAATCCACTGCTGGTGGACCTGTAGGTATGTACAGACATTATGGAAATCGATTTGACAATATCTAAAGCAGATGGAAATTGAGCTACCATACAACCCAGTAATCCCCCTTCTGTGCATATACCCAGAAGAGGCAAGAAACAAACCTTGGCCAGACCATGGAAGTTGAGCTACCATATGATCAGCAGCCCCACCGATTGGGTATACACCCAGTAGAGGCGAGAAACAAACCACAGTGCTCTAATGTTCATCGTTGCACAGTTCACAATTTCAAGGAGTTGGAAACAACACAAATTTTCATCCATAATCAAATGGACAAAAAACAACAACTGGTAAATACATGCAGTGGAGTATTATGCATCCCTAAAAGGCAGCAATGAATTCATGAAGCACATTGCCACATGGGAAGAATTGAATAAAATCATGGTAAATGATGTAAGCCAAGCACCAAAGGACAAATACAACATGGATAAGTACAACATGAGTCTACTGAGGTAAGCTTAAAACAACAAAAAATAACAATAACAAAAACCGGGCAGAGGGGAAAAGCTACTATATACATACATCCCCGGGGTGATGTCTAGCAACTATGGCAGGGCCTAAACCCAATACAGGGATACATCCATCCATCAAATAATAAGAGGGGGAAAGAAGGAGATAAAAAGTCATGGTTGGTGGGAACTGGGTACTAACCCAACCAAGGGCGGGTATTGTTTATAACTCCACAGGATGGGGAGATAGAGACCAGGCTTCAATCTGATGTGTCAAGATGTGAATACAACATACCAGCATGTATCAGGAACCAAAAGAGATGTCTGCAGGCCAGCCCCAAATATGTCAGCACCACTCCGTCCCCCTCAGAAGAATGTACTTCAGAAGATGTTGGGGTCTCATCCAGCGAGACCCTCACGTAGTGACCCGAAGGGGCGACGAACCTGGATGGAAGAAAAGACATGAAGACGTGGAGCAAGACAAATGCTGATCAAGCTCGATTTATTTGGGCAAAGCTCGGGTTATATAAAGAGGAACTGGGAGGTGCATATTCTAATAAGGTGTGCTGCACAACATCCAATCCAACATGTATATTATAATGAAGCATAAGAATGTTAACCAATCAGCTATCCATCATATTCCCAATATGGTATGTCTGTAGTCCAATGAGTGCTTGGTATTTCAACCAATGGGTGAAGGGTGAGGAAGATAACCAACCAAGGTCACGTAGCTGCACAACAGTTACAGCTGCACAATAGTCAAAGAACATTTCGGGGGGAGACGGGGGGGGGGGGGGGGGTAACACAAACTGCAAGCTGTCTCAATATCTTTCCGTAGAAACAGACAGTTTCATAGAACAAGGAAGCTTTGGTGACTAAGATATCTTTTAAAGGCATAATCACCTGCCAGTTATTTTCCACTAGGGCCGGTCATTGTTTGAAGGACCCTGAGAATGCCCGCTAGGGCTGGCTCCCAACAAGAAGACAGCACTGAGCCTACATCTTGGGGGACGGGCGTGTCTGATTAGAGCACACAGGAGAAACAAAAAGGGATTAAGAGGGAGGGGAGGACATCCTGACCCACAAGGCCAAAGGACGATATTTCTGCTCAGAACAGAGAACGCACACAGAGCATCATACGGTCAGCCCCACCATGAGACATGGCATCTTTCCCTAAACCATAGGGCCACTGTGGGGACAATACAGGAGACACAGTGCAGGAATTTTGCACATTCTGACCCCACCATGCTGGGCCAAAACACTAAGGACATGCAATAGAGCAGCAAGAGGAGCAAGTGATGAAATCCCCAGGAAATACCAAAAATAGACTTTGGAAACAGATTGGCACCCCATCAGACTCGATTGGAAAATACTCATAACGGCCAACAAACAGACCGTGAACTATTTATAGTCCTTTGCATTTTTATCAGTGGCTTTTTTTTCTTGTTGTTTTGTTTCTGTTGTTATTGTTTTGTTGGTCTTGACTATCTTTGTGGTTTTATTTGGTTTTGCCAAGTTTTTGTGTGTATTAATGTATCAGTATGTCTATCTAGATAAGATAGGAGGATAAAAAATTTGGAAATGGAAAGAATGGGACCAGTGGTTCCGGAAGGATACAGGAGAGGGGGCGGGTGGGGTGGGAGAAAGGAAAGGGGCGGGGGAATCCAACCCAGGGACAAGGGAACAACAAGTGAACTGAAATCAATAGAGAGAAGGATGCCTCATGGGGCTTAATCAAGGGCAATGTAGCAGCAAGAAATAACTAAACCCAGATGAAAGCCGAATATGATGGTGGGACAAGAGGAAAGTAAAAGTATATAGAGGAAAGAACCAGGAGGCAAAGGACATTTATAGAGGTCTAAATACCGGCATATACATAAGTAAGTAAAAAAAAAAGTATATATATATATATAATGAAATGGGAAATTAACTATGTACTCATATCTATATGCTAAGAATTAAGGTTGCAGATGGAATTTGAGCCTTGACTCCAGTACTCCCTCAATACAAGAACACTTTGTTCTAACAATCTGGTGTTCTGTGATGCTCACCTACCTGACATGATTGCTGAAGACAAAATGGGTGGATAAGTAATTGTGGTGAAGAAAGGTGATGGTGTCCGGCTATTGAAAGATATAGCATCTACTGTCTTAAAGGCTTGATGGTAAACAAGCAGACATCTAGCTGAGAAGCAACAAAGCACACATGGAAGAAGCACATCAGCATGCATGATCATGAGGTCTCGATGGGTTCAGGTACCAGGCGTCTAAGACTCAGAACAAAACCATAAGTGAGGTGAAAGGGGAGGGAGTGGTGCATGGAGTGGAGACCCAAAGCCCATCTGGGTTTCTGTACGTTTTTCCAGTATGTGAAATCTTACATAGGTAAACCTATACAGACAATAACTGATGAATAATTACCTAAGACATGACAGGAAAGGTTCGGAAGAAATGGGGAGCTAACCACCCTAACTCTGTGAAAGAAAAAAATTTGGACAATTGGACATTCTTATACAGAGGGATCGCAGGGAAGAAATGTGCCTGTCACGGTGCAGTATAGCACCGATAAAACACACAACTTTCCTCTAGTTCTTTGGTGCTTTATACCCCACCACTAACATGACTTCAGTTTTACCTTACAAATTGGATAAGAACAGAACATGCACACGGCTATGGACAAGAGCCCGCAACACAGGGGATCCAGGATAGATAAACCTCCCAGGGCCAATAATGAGAGTAGAGATACCAGGAGGATTGAGGGAGCCTATGGGGAGAAAGGGGGAATCAATCACAAGGATCAACCTATAGCCCACTCTAAGGGGAATGAACAATGGAAAAGTGGGTGAAGTGCGATGGAGGATGATGTAAGATATGAAAATAATAATCTATAACTTATCAAGGGTTCGTGAGGGAAGCGGGGTGGGGGAAGGAGGAGGAAAATGGGGAGCTGATATCAGGGGCTCAAGTGGGAAGAAAATGCTTTGAAAATGATGATGATGACAGCATATGTGCAAATGTACTTGACACACCGGATGAATGAATGGATTGTGATAAGAGATGGAAGAGCCCCCAATAAAAGTATTTAATTTAAAAAATAGTTAAAAATGTTCATGGAAAAAAAATTCCACTGTCTTTTAATTTCATCTTCCATGAACTTTTTGAAATAAAAATACATATACATTTTAAATATATACATACAAATATAGAGAGATAAATAATATATATGCATGCATTAGAATCCCCGGAGAGTGTTTTCTAAAAAGCTGATAGAACCATAAAAAGAAAATTCATAGAATATACAAGAATCATGAGGAAAGATAATTTGTTTTTTAAAAGAAAGGAGAGATATTCCTTAAAGATATTTCCTTAAAGGAAAAAGGAACCAGATTTCCGTCGACTTATAGCATATATGACTCAACTCACTGTCACAAGTCAATTCTGACTCATTATGACCCTATAATACAGGGCAGAACTGCCTTAGGGTTTTGACAACACTGCAGGATTTTTTTTGTTTGTTTGTGTTTTATTTTTGGAATTGGCATTTATTCACATATCATAAAATACAATAGCTCAATCATATTAGGAACACTTCTGAAATCATTTCCACAATTTTAGAAAAAAATTTTCTTTCACAGAGTTAGGGTGGTTAGCTCCCCATTTCTTCCAAACCTTTCCTGTCATGTCTTAGGTAATTATTCATCAGTTATTGTCTGTATAGGTTTACCTATGTAAGATTTCACATACCGGAAAAACGTACAGAAACCCTCATCTTTCTTCTGCAGAGTGGCTGGTAGTTTCAAACTGCTCATCTTGTGTGAACAGCCCAAAGGGTGAATACTACACCATCTAGGAACTTTCAAACTCAGTGAGTGAAAAGGAACATTAAGATCACATAGAAGAGTGGCAAGGGAAAGAATTAAAGACAAAAGTTCAGGCAGGAGACCGCACAATAATTCAAGTGAAAGTTGTTGGCAATTTAGATAAGATCTCTCATATTGAAAATGATGAGAAATCAAATATAAAATATATTCTGAGGGTAGATGTGGCAGGATGGTGAAGAAAATAGGATACCAAGGTTTTTTGTTTTATTTTGTAAGAGACAGCAGACAATAGGTAATAGCATATCTATTGGTTTTAAGCATATATACAATATGTACAAATCGGGCAGATTAAACATCCCAAATAAGTCTCAGTATACAGCAAAGGATCATATGTATTACTTTTATAACTCAGAAAACCTACTGAAATTTATGAAACAAAATTTTCACTTTGAAAGAGATGATAATGATATTTTCTTCAGACTTTTAAAAATACATAGATAATAGATGTCAGATAGACTTTAATTTCTGTTTAAGCCTGAAATCTAAAAGTTAAAAGTAATATGAAAATGTTTAAAGGATAAAAACCAATTATTTGATATAGCACACAAGCTGGGCACCTTGGTGGTGGTGTTTTTATATCTTGGTCAACAGCTAGG